TGTGCCAAGCAATAGGTCAGTAGCCCTGTTCCTCAGGGAGCTGTGCGCGCAGACTGGTTGGGTCCGAGTGGGGCCGAGAGGCTTGGTCTGGCTGAGGATGCTACTGATGTCCTGGGCTAAATCTGGCTCCATTACCATCAAGGTATGCTATTGTATGGTCCCTGTGCCAAGCGGTAGGTCAGTAGCCCTGTTCCTCATGGAGCTGTGCGCGCAGCCCGGTTGGGTCCGGGTGGGGCCGAGAGGCTTGGTCTGGCTGAGGATGCTACTGATGTCCTGGCCCAAATCTGGCACCATTACCATCAAGGTATGCTATTGTATGGTCCCTGTGCCAAGCGGTAGGTCAGTAGCCCTGTCCCCATGGAGCTGTGCGCGCAGACCGGTTGGGTCCGGGTGGGGCCGAGAGGCTTGGTCTGGCTGAGGATGCTACTGATGTGCTGGCCCAAATCTGGCTCCATTACCATCAAGGTATACTGTTGTATGGTCCCTGTGCCAAGCGATAGGTCAGTAGCCCTGTTCCTCAGGGAGCTGTGGCGCAGACTGGTTGGGTCCGAGTGGGGCCAAGAGGCCCGGTCTGGCTGAGGATGCTAGCAATGCACTGGCCCAAATCTGGCACCATTACCATCAAGGGATACTGTTGTATGGTCCCCGTGCCAAGCGATAGGTTAGTAGCCCTGTCCCTCATGGAGCTGTGCGCGCAGACCGGTTGGCTCCGAGGGGGGCCGAGAGGCTTGGTCTGGCTGAGGATGCTACTGATAACCTGGCCCAAATCTGGCTCCATTACCATCAAGGAATACTATTGTATGGTCCCTGTGCCAAGCGGTAGCTCAGTAGCCCTGTTCCTCATGGAGCTGTGCGCGCAGACCGGTTGGGTCCGGGTGGGGCCGAGAGGCTTGGTCTGGCTGATAATGCTACCGATGCACTGGCCCAAATCTGGCTCCCTTACCGTCAATGTCTACTATTGTATGGTCCCTGTGCCAAGCGGGAGGTCGGTAGCCCTGTTCCTCATGGAGCTGTGCGCGCAGACGGGTTGGGTCTGAGTGGGGCCGAGAGGCTTGGTCTGGCTGAGCATGCTACTGATGTCCTGGCCCAAATCTGGCTCCATTACCATCAAGGCATACTAAGAGCACCTGTCACCAAGGGGGACAGGGTCCCTGGGCCAGATCCTTGCGCAACCCAAAACCTACGCGGACCATAGGCCCAGCACCTCTGAGGCTCTCACGCCTTGATCCTGTAACTGACCCGACCTGAAACTCTCACACCCTATCATTCACTGTGTAGAGCACCTGTCACCAAGGGGACAGGGTCCCTGGGCCAGATCCTTGCGCAACCCAAAACCTCATCGGACCATAGGCCCAGCACCTCTGAGGCTCTCACGCCTCATCCTGTAACTGACCCCACCTGAAACTCTCACACCTTATCATTCACTGTGTAGAGCACCTGTCACCAGGGGGACAGGGTCCCCAGGTCAGATCCTTGCGCAACCCAAAACCTCATCGGACCATAGGCCCAGCACCCCTGAGGCTCCCACGCCTCAATCCTGCAACTGACCCAACCTGAAACTCTCACACCCTATCATTCACTCTGTAGAGCACCTGTCACCAACAGGACAGGGTCCCCAGGTCAGATCCTTGCGCAACCCAAAACCTCATCGGACCATAGGCCCAGCACCTCTGACGCTCTCACGCCTTGATCCTGTAACTGACCCCACCTGAAACTCTCACACCTTATCATTCACTGTGTAGAGCACCTGTCACCAGGGGGACAGGGTCCCCAGGTCAGATCCTTGCGCAACCCAAAACCTCATCGGACCATAGGCCCAGCACCCCTGAGGCTCCCACGCCTCAATCCTGTAACTGACCCCACCTGAAACTCTCACACCTTATCATTCACTGTGTAGAGCACCTGTCACCAGGGGGACAGGGTCCCCAGGTCAGATCCTTGCGCAACCCAAAACCTACGCGGACCATAGGCCCAGCACCTCTGAGGCTCTCACGCCTTGATCCTGTAACTGACCCGACCTGAAACTCTCACACCCTATCATTCACTGTGTAGAGCACCTGTCACCAAGGGGACAGGGTCCCTGGGCCAGATCCTTGCGCAACCCAAAACCTACGCGGACCATAGGCCCAGCACCTCTGAGGCTCTCACGCCTTGATCCTGTAACTGACCCCACCTGAAACTCTCACACCCTATCATTCACTCTGTAGAGCACCTGTCACCAACAGGACAGGGTCCCCAGGTCAGATCCTTGCGCAATCCAAAACCTCATCGGACCATAGGCCCAGCACCTCTGAGGCTCTCACGCCCAAGGCAGCAGGGTTATCTGCCGTTCTGTTGATGTTAAGCTTGTCCAGCACTTCTCCTCCCAATGAAAACTTCCACTATCATTGCCGTGACCAGTAGCCAGCCAAGTGTTCCACGCCGGTGTCTCCCAGGGGGCAACTCAGCAGGATGCTACTGGTTGACTGGCTTCAACTCTGGCTCCCCCACGGTCAAAACAGACAACCGTGAGGTCCACCTGCCTAGGAGCTGGCTGGTTGCCCTCTTCCGCTTGGAGCTGCAGGTGGCTCATCTGAACCTCCTGTTTGGCCTGTTGAAGTTGTTTTTTGGGTCTCGCTCTCTCTACCTCAGAGTGCACGGCAGGCCAAGGCAAAAGCGAGGCCCGGGCCATGGAGCTGCACGCTAGCAACAAAAAACAACAGGCGCACATCTGCGCTGCTGCATTGCTCAGTGGCGGGATCGAACCGCCGACATTGGACTTGGCACGAGATTCGTATTAGGTCCACATCATAACCAACTAGATCAACCGAGCTGTTGTTGCACGTGATCTTACGCGTGCAACAACATCGGACAGCATTGCTCGGCCCGCGCACGGCGCCGATAGCTAGTTGAACGTACACTATCAAAAGGACGGGCGCCACGTGCACCAGACTTTGACCTGGAAGAGAGCGGCGCTCATAGACCACTGACACCGCCGCCACCGCCAAAAAGTGATCGCACCCAGGTTTGAACTGAGGACCTTCAGTGAACTGAATGTTAAACTGACGTGATGACCAACTACACCATGCAACCGCGTGTGAGCCCTTGGAGCCTTGTACACCATATCACCACGCCGCTCTCTACTCTCTTCTTGTCCGCGCGAGAACCTGGCTTTAAAGCTGCGCAGCAGGAGTAGAGGGCTGAGGCAAGACTGCTTCAGGACAGTGTTGCCCTGCCAAGGGCGAGACTGTTGTCTGGCCTCTCGTGAGCCAGGGGTTGTCAGCTCGCTGGCAGAGAGACGTGCGCCTGTGTGAGAGGCAAAAAAGAGGGTGTGCCCCCACACAGGATCGAACTATGGACCTTTCGCTTACTAGGCGAACGCTCTGCCACTGAGCCATAGGGGCCACATAGCCGCGTCCATTCGGCGTGTCAACCCACCGGGCACAACAAGCCGGCGTGGCCGTCGGTCGTCTTTTGTCCTCAATGTCTGCACCCGCGGGTCCTCTTTCTTGCCTCTTTCGCATCCAAGCGCTGTATGGACGTTGCATCAACTCACTTCAGGCAACCACGTCTTCACCACCAGCCTGCTGTGCCAGCTGTGTGTCGCTCTCTTCACCTCGTACCTCCCCGCCCTTGCCCCTTGCCCTCTCCCATTGGTGCTTGTTCCATCCCCAACGCCTGAACGAGCCTGCGCACATCCTGTATGTGCGCAGCAGAGCTGGCTATAAGTTGGCAGCACTCACGACGCAATCAAACCCGTCTCCCTTGTTGCACGCGCTCAAGCCTCAGGAACTCAAGCGCATTGAGAGAGGGTTCGAGGGCTGCTCATGGCAAGGCCAGACAAGGCTTGCTGGCTGCCACTTAGTAATGCATAAAGGCAAACTGGCTTGCGCAATGCGCTTTGCTGGGGAGAGATTTAACTGGGCTTGAACCCCCCAGCGCGCAGCGCGAGTTTGGACCCCTCTCAACTTGCCCTGCTCGAGCCTTACTTAATGCCAGCTCAAACAAAGCCTTCAAACTCCCCTGCTTGATCTGCTCTTGACCGGGCTCGCTCCAGGCTTACTCGAGCGCGCTTCGACCAGCTCTTGACCAAGGCTCTTCGACCTCTCCTTGACCAGGCCTTGGGCCGGGGCTGCTCGAGCTTGCCTCGAACCACCTTGTTCCTGCTCATCTCAACTCGTCCTTGAGCCACCTTGCTCCCCCCTCAACCGCCCCTCCTTGCGTCGCTCGCCTGCCGCCACTTGTCTTCCTCGTCATCTCGCGCCCACTTGTTGTATGATCAGCTCCAAGTGCCGCCCAGTCAGGTTGAGCGTGACGTGCGACGCAATGGCAGAAGCAAGAGGATCTGCAGGAGGAGGACAACGGGAGAGAAAAGGGAGGAAGATGAAGGAGGGGAACGTGGTGTAAGATTGTCATTCTTGGCAAAGGCACAAAGAGGAGCAGTACGCAGCAATGCCTTTGTGATTTAGAGAGAGGAGGGCCTGCTGTGGGCACGGGAGGAGTTCGACGTTCTCGACCAGGCCGGGGTGACTTGCTAGTGTTCCAGCTTGCCAAGCGAGTGCCACATTGCAGTTTCAGAAGCAGCAGCTACCTGCCTGTACTGCAGAGAGGCATGCACAAGCGTTGCGCGCTGCAAAAACAAAGTCCCTTGGCGTCAACGGCAAAAACTGGACGGCGCGGAGCCCTCGAGGCGCCCGCGGAAACTTGCCTCCAGGGTGGATCGAACACCCGACCTCAGCATCGACTTCCGTACGAGTGCTGCGCACTGCCACTGTGCTATAGAGGCTGTGTTGAAGAGCCAGGGCAGTTCAAGGTACATAACCGCACCCGTCGGCCCCCGGCCTTACCTGGCCAGCTTTGCCCTGACAGCCCTGGTCAGCCGAAGTGAAGCAGAGAGCACGCCAAGTTGCGCGGAGCAAATGCGCCGCGGGGCGGGCGCAACGTGGACGCGAGCGCGTAGGTCGGGGCCGAGGCGCGCGTGCGAGCAAGCTGGCAAGATCCGCCCCGGGCTCTCAGCTGCCCGCGCGAAATTCGAAGGATTGAGGGTGACACGTCGAGCCACGGTCGCGTTTCGAGGAGAGGCGGCCTCGGTCGGGCGCCTCTCTTCTCCTCCTCCCACCCACCTCTTCCCTCACCCCCACACCTACACCTGGATCAAGACCAGGAACCTCGGCCAGACCGCAGCAGCTCCACAGCACCCGTTCCTACCCTTTCCCGCCTCATCCCATGGTCGTCTTCGTCTACAAGGTGCGCGCGACTTGTCTCTCCTCCCCCCGACGCGTCTCCCCAGTTGCTGACCCATCTCGGTCTTCCCACGCCCCTGCAGCGCGGTACGTTCTCGCCTGCACACTCTTGTGCATCTGCAGAGCCACTGAGGACCTCGAACTGACGCGCCTGCCTTGCAGACGGTCGCCGCGAGAGCGTCGCGTTCGACAAGATGTGCGTCCCTCGGCTCGCCCTCCCCGTTTGCGCATGCGCGCCAGTCTACTGACTCGTTCCTCGCCCCGACAATGCAGCACTGCGCGCATCGAAAAGCTCTGCTACGGCCTCGACCGCAACCACGTCGAGCCCATCGAGGTGAGCCCCGCCTCCCGTCTTCCTTCCCTCTCGGTCACGCCCTCGCTCGAGGATGCAGAAGAGCTGACCCACAACCTCGTCCCACAGATCACGAAGCGTGTCATCAGCGGCGTGTACCAGGGTGTCACGACGGTCGAGCTCGACAACCTCGCCGCCGAGACGGCGGCTTACATGACCACCCGGCACCCGGTCCGTCTCTGCCCCACTCCTCTCCCTCTCGTGCGTCTACTCGCGCGCAAGCTGACCGACGATGTACATCACAGGACTACGCCATCCTCGCTGCGCGCATCGCCATCTCGAACCTGCACAAGGAGACGAAGAAGACGTTCTCGCTCGTCGTCTCGGACCTTTACCACTACGGTGCGCCCGGACCGGCCCTCTTCTCCTCAGGGCGAGGCTCAGACGTGCCAGGTTACTGACGCCCTCGAGCGGCTTCTCTCCTCGCGCAGTCAACCCCAAGAACGGCCGGCCGTCGGGCATGATCTCGGACGAGACGTACAAGGCCATCATGGACAACGCTGAGCGCCTCAACAGCGCCGTCATCTACAACCGCGACTTCAGCTACGTGCGTGTGACCTGTTCACCCTCGTGCGAGATGGCGGCAGTTCCTGACCGTGTTGGCCCGCCACCGTCTGCAGAACTACTTCGGGTTCAAGACGCTCGAGCGCTCGTACCTGCTGCGCATCGACGGCAAGGTCGCCGAGCGCCCTCAGCACATGCTCATGCGTGTCGCCGTCGGCATCCACGGCGCCGACATCGACCGCGCAATCGAGACGTACAACCTCATGTCGGAGCGCTACTTCACGCACGCCTCGCCGACGCTCTTCAACGCCGGCACGCCGCGCCCGCAGCTCTCGTCGTGCTTCCTCGTCACGATGAAGGAGGACTCGATCGACGGCATCTACGACACGCTCAAGACGTGCGCCCTCATCTCCAAGACGGCCGGCGGCATCGGCCTCTCGATCCACAACATCCGCGCGACGGGCTCGTACATCGCCGGCACCAACGGCTACTCGAACGGCATCATCCCCATGCTGCGCGTCTTCAACAACACGGCGCGCTACGTCGACCAGGGCGGCAACAAGCGGCCGGGCGCGTTCGCCATCTACCTCGAGCCGTGGCACGCCGACATCTTCGACTTCCTCGACCTGCGCAAGAACCACGGCAAGGAGGAGGTGCGCGCGCGCGACCTCTTCTTCGCCCTGTGGATCCCGGACCTCTTCATGGAGCGCGTCGAGCAGGCGGGCGACTGGCCCCTCTTCTGCCCCGCCGAGGCGCCCGGCCTCGCCGACGTCTACGGCGACGAGTTCAAGGCCCTGTTCGAGAAGTACGAGAAGGAGGGCCGCGCCAAGAAGACGATCCCGGCCCAGAAGCTGTGGTACGCCATCCTCGAGGCCCAGGTCGAGACGGGCAACCCGTTCATGCTCTACAAGGACGCCGCCAACAGTGCGTCGCCTCTCTCTCTCCCCCTCTCTCTCCCCATCTCTCTCTCCCTCTCTCTCTCCCTCTCTCTCTCTCTCCCTCTCTCCCTCCCTCCCCTCCCTCCCCTCCCTCCTGCACCTCGCTACAATACTGACTGTCGCTCTCGGCGCACCGCAACAGAGAAGTCGAACCAGAACAACCTCGGCACGATCAAGTCGTCCAACCTCTGCACCGAGATCATCGAGTACTCGGCGCCGGACGAGTGGTGAGTCCTGCCCCGCCCTCTCGCCTCCTCGTTCCTCCCCTCTCGCTCGAGACGGAACACGAGCTGACACGTGTCCTCCCCTCCTTGCAGCGCCGTGTGCAACCTCGCGTCGATCGCCCTCCCGTCCTTCATCGAGAACGGCGTCTACAACTTCCAGAAGCTCCACGACGTGACCAAGGTCGTGGCGTACAACCTGAACCGCATCATCGACGTCAACTACTACCCGGTCAAGGAGGCCGAGAACAGCAACATGCGCCACCGCCCGATCGGCATCGGCGTGCAGGGCCTCGCCGACGCCTTCATGGCGCTCCGCCTCCCGTTCGACTCGCCCGAGGCGCGCCAGCTCAACCTCCAGATCTTCGAGACGATCTACCACGCCGCGATCGAGTCGTCGTGCGACATGGCGCGCGAGCACGCGGCCAAGAACCCCGGCGAGTCCGGCGCGTACCCGTCGTACAAGCTCAACGGCGGCTCGCCCGCGAGCCAGGGCCTGCTCCAGTACGACCTGTGGAACGTCACGCCGACCGACCTGTGGGACTGGGCCGAGCTCAAGGACAAGATCGCGCAGCACGGCCTCCGCAACTCGCTCGTGTGCGCGCCCATGCCGACGGCCTCGACGAGCCAGATCCTCGGCAACAACGAGGCGTTCGAGCCCTACACCTCGTGCGTCCTCGCTTTCACCTCGTTCCCTCTTGGCCTCTCGTCGTCGTGCACGAGCCGGCGAGCTGACCCTGCACCTACTCATGCAGCAACATCTACACGCGCCGTGTCCTCGCCGGCGAGTTCCAGATCGTCAACCCGTGGCTCCTGCGCGACCTCGTCGACCGCGGCCTGTGGGACGACGCGATGAAGAACACGATCATCGCGCACAACGGCTCGATCCAGAACGTCCCGGGCATCCCGGACGAGCTCAAGCGCATCTACAAGACGGTGTGGGAGATCTCGCAGAAGACGGTCATCGATCTCGCGGCCGACCGTGGCGCGTTCATCGACCAGAGCCAGAGCCTGAACGTCCACCTCTCGAGCCCGACCATGGCTCAGCTCACGAGCATGCACTTTTACGGGTGGAAGAAGGGCCTCAAGACGGGCATGGTGCGTCTCGGCCTCCCTCTTGCGCCTCGACGTGCCCTCAATCGAGCCGCGCCGCTCACGTCGCTCGTCCACCCTCGCAGTACTACCTCCGCACCCGTGCTGCCGTTGGCGCCATCAAGTTCACCGTCGACCAGGCGACTCTCGGTCCGTCCCCTCGTCCTCTGCGCCTCGTCGTTCCCGAGTCACTCGTTCCTGACGCCTCGTCGCGCTCGCAGACTCGGCCAAGGCCGCCAACGCGTCCGCCCCGGCCGTCGCTGCCGCACCCACCGCCGCACCCGCCGCCGTCAAGCCGGCTGGCATGCGCGACATCACGAACGGCGTCGCGCGCACGAGCCTCTCTGCTGTCGCGCCCGCCAAGCGCTCGCCGACGAGCAGTACGCCGGGCGCTGCGTCGCCCGCGCCTGCGCCCGTCCCTGCGCCTCTCGCCGCGACGCCGGCCGCACCGGCAGAGGACGAGGAGGAGATCTCGTACGAGGAGGCGGTCCGCCGCGCCGAGGAGCACGCGCAGGCCGTCCTGCAGTGCTCGATCGACAACAAGGACGCTTGCCTGAGTACGTCCCCCGTTCTCTCGCACCCTCTTCCTCCCGCGCCGAGCCGCCTTACTGACCTCGTCTCTCGTCGTCCCTCTCTTTCTACAGTGTGCAGCGGCTAAAGTAGACTGCCTCGCCGTCGAGCCTGTCGCTCGTGCCCTCGTTGTCTCCCTTTGCCTTTCTCCTTCCCTCGCACCCTCGTTGTACTCGTCACCGTTGTACCGCAGCGTCTGCGCGTATCGTTCCTGCTCTCGCCGATGTAACCTCGTTCCGTTCGTGCCCTTGCGTTCTGGCTCTGCGAAAGCTCGAGAGCCGAGTTCCCCGAGAGAGAGGCGGCATGCCGCCGCACGCGCGCTGTGTTCCTCGTCCGCGCTCTCCCTCACCGCGCGGCCCTCGTCGACCGCCGCATGACGACCGAGCTCACGATCTCGGGCGTACTGCCCCGCACGCTGTACGCGAGTGCGCTCGAGCGCCTGTCTGGCTTTGCCGAGCGCGGCGAAGCCTTCATCGCGAGCGAGGAGGTGTTCGCCCGCAACACGGTCTCTGGGAGCACAGACGGGCCCGGTTCAGCGGCGGCGGCAGATGCAGGAGGTGTGCTGCGCGTCAAGGCGGTGCGCACTCGGTCAACTGGGGACGCGGCGCAGTGGTGAGCTCCTCCCCTCTCCTCCCAATCTCCCCACCCGGCTCGCGCTCTTCGAGCTCGCCCAGCCCTCCTCGCTGACACTGCCTCTCCCGCCTCGCCGCACGCAGGTCGCTGCAGGTCAACGGCCGGCCCGAACCACCACGCACAGCACCTCGAGCGCAGCAGCACGCCGCCACCGAGTTCTCGGTCGAGGACGGCAGCGACCCTCGCTCGTTCGCGAGCGCACTCGGCTACGGGTGCGTCCCTTCTCCGCCTCCTCCTTCGCCCGAACGCGACTGACGAACCGACGTGGAGCGCCCGCAGGAAGAACCTGTTCACGCTGCACCGGCGCGGCGTGCGGTTCCAGCGTGGGGCCGTCACGGTCGAGCTCTTTCAGCTGCACGAGGTGCGTCCTCGCGCTCTCTTTCTCTCTCTCTCCCCTCATGCCTGCAACTGTCGGCAAGGAACCAGTGTAGCTGACCCCGCCCTCTCGCGACGCCCGCAGGACAACGACTCGCCGACCCCTCTCGACCCCTCGTCGTACGCCGTCTGCGCCTCGACGCGCTTTACCGCAGCGCCCTCGACCTCGAACAGCGGCAGCAGCACCGTCGCACGAGGTGGTACCGGCGGCGGGGCAGCAGGAGCGAGCGCGGGCGGAGGTGGAGGAGGAGGTGCGTCGCACGAGTTGCGCGAGGCGAGCCTCGCTGCGCTCGAGGACGTGGCGCGGTTGCTCAAGGGGCTCGTAGACCTCTCTCGCGTCGATTGAAAGCAGCTCCTCTCTCTCTCTTTGCGAGCGAGCCGACACGTCTGACGAGAGAGCGAGGCCCGAGCGAGAGGGAAGCTGGCGTGACCAAGTGCTGGCTGGGCGACACAAAGAGGCTCGCTCGACGTGCGTCTCGTTGCAGGAGAGTGGGGATAGGGGCTACGACTCGTCCTTGTCGAGCTTGGCCAGTCGTATGGGCTCCTCCTCGGCGAGGAACGCAAACATGTCGCGGTTGGCGATGCGGCTCTCCCTGCGGGCCGTGCGAGCGGCGGGCACGGTGGTGGCGAGGAGGGGAGAAAAGGAGGGGGGTCGGGCGATAAGATGGTCACTTGAGGGTCCTTGGCGGCGCAGGACCGAGGAACGAGAGAGAGAGAGAGAGAGAGGACGCACTCGAAGCGAGGCTCGAAGAACTTGCGCGTCTCGTCGAACCGCTGCTTGTACGCGTCAAAGCTCCCGTAGCGCACCGTGTCGCTCCAGCCCCTCGCGGCAATGACAAACTCTGCGTCGTCGCTGCTGAACGCGACGCCCTGGCCACTCGCGCCGCCGGCAGCGTGCACGGCCGCCTCGAGGCGCGCCTCGTCGCGGAAGAGGTACTCTGCGACGCCGATCCAGAAGCGGAAGACGGGCGTCGCGGCGAGGGCGAGGTGGACAAAGGGGCGAATGCGCAGCTGGTGCCAACAGTCGACCATGGCGAGGAGGGCGAGGTGCGAGTTGGGCGGGAGGGCGGCCGCGGCCGACGCCGAGGGGGGCTCGCCGATCGCGAACCGGTCGAGGGTTGTGTCGGACAGGAGGATGGGCGGTGGTGCCGGTGCCGGGGCGGCCGAGGTCGAGGTAGGAGAGGAGGATGGTGCCGCCGAGGAAGAAGACGCCGCCGCCGACGAGGGCCCAAAGACAAAGTCGCGCGCGGCAAACACCCTCTCGCGCAGCTCGTCCTCCTTGGACTGGATCATGAGCTTGAACAGGTCGCTGGCCGACTGGGCAAACTGGTGAATCTGCTCCTGGGCGCGCGGGTTGAGGATCGCGAGGCCGGCGTAGACGTGCCACTTGGCGGCGTAGATGCGCAGCGTGATGTTGATCTTGACGACCTCGATGCCGCCGATGTAGCGGCCGAGCTCCCAGGGGAACTGGCCCATGCAGCACCAGGCGGTGCCCATCCTGTGGGCGCGAGGGGGCAGTGCGAGGGTCAGCTCGAGGTTCGAGAGAAGGTGCGGAGGACTGATGGGGCGCGAGAGACAGGGGGAGGGCGCGCGAGGGAGGGAAAGGGAGACAGGAAGGAGGTGCTGGAGGGAGATTAGGGGAGAGGAGGGAGGAGAGGGACAGGACGCTGAGAGGGGGAAAATGAGGACGCACGACAGGAAGGCGGCGTGCGTCACGGCCTGCGTGTTGGCCGTCACCTCGTCGTGCTCGTCGTACGACAGGTCGACGTAGCGCGAGTTGAGGGGCGCGAGGAGCTGCTTGACAAACTTGACGTGCTCCGAGGTCGCGCGGTGCTGGATCACGATCTGCGTCGGTGGGCGTGCCCGTCAGGTCAGTACGCGACGTCGAGGCGCAAGGCGAGTGTGTGAGAGAGAGAACGAGAGAGAGGAGGGACGCACGAGGGCCTGGTTGTCGGACGGGACGGTCGGGCCGTGGAGCGAGTGGATCGAGACGATGTGGGTGTCGGCGGGCAGGTGCTGCTCGAACGCCTTGCGCTCTGGGGCCTTTACGCTCGTCTGGCCTGCGACGATGGCGCCGACTTTGGTCGAGGGCCCGTACTGGGCGACGACGTGGTCGATGTAGGCCGCCTCGACCGAGTAGACGACAAAGTCGCTCTCGCGGGCGACGAGGTGGCCGTCGCGGAGCGGGACGAGCCGGGGCTTGTCGCGGCAGTAGTCGACGAGCGAGTCGTAGCGGTCGGGGAGGTCGCACACGTTGATGCGGGCGCAATGGTTCGGGGTGCGCGACAGGCGGTCGGCGTACATGCGGCCCATCTCGCCCATGCCGATGAGGCCGACGACGGCGTCCTTGACGGCGGGGAGGGCGGGCATGGCGGGCGAGAGATGAAGTCGGAGGTGCGCGCCGAGGCGGAGGTGAGGGATGGGCGAGAGCGGCGCGGGGCAGTGGCGGGTGGGTGTGTGGGTGCTTGGGTGGGTCTGGTGGCAGTAAGAGTGGGCCTGCTCGAGGTGTGTGAGGGAGGTGCAAGCTGGTCCGGGTTTCATCTTGGTCGACGTCGCTCACCTCGTCGTCGTCACCCAGTCGCACTCGCCTCGCTGGTGTGGTCGGCCAGCAGGAGCATGCATGGCGCCCTACGCCCCATCCGCACCCTCACGGCCCTCGTCACCCTCGCCCTCGCCCTCGTCCTCCTCCTCCCCACCACGACCCGCGCCGCATCATGGTACTCGCCCGACCGCAAGCGCAGCCTCCGCCACCTCGCCGAGGCCACCTGGCGCCACGCGTACGACTCGTACAAGCTCCACGCCTTCCCCGCCGACGAGCTCCTCCCCCTGTCCTGCGTCGGCCAGGGCCACGACCGCCTCGACCGCACAAACGCCGGCGTCAACGACGTCATGGGCGACTACCTCTTGACCGTCGTCGACTCGCTCGACACGTTCGCCATGCTCGGCGACAAGCCCGCGTTCGAGCAGGCCGTGCGCGAGGTCATCCACCACGTCGACTTTGACCTCGACTCGCGCGTCCAGGTCTTCGAGGTGACGATCCGCATGATGGGCGGCCTCGTGCGTCCACTCTTTCTTCTCTCTCTTCCTCCCACACCCAACCCTGAGCCGCCTGACTGACCCTCTCGCTCCACCCGCACCCCGCAGCTCTCGGGCCACCTCCTCGCGCTCCCTCCCTCCCCACCCGGCGCTCCCCTCAACGGCTCGACCTTCACGTCCTCGATCCGCGGCTTCGACCTGCCCTGGTACCGCTCCGAGCTCCTCGCCCTCGCGCACGACCTCGGCCGCCGCCTCCTCCCGGCGTTCGACACCCCGACCGGGATCCCGTTCGCGCGCGTGCACCTCCAGACGGGCATCCGCACCGGGTCAAAGGGCGGCAAGGCGCTCGAGACGGGCGAGACGTGCGCTGCAGGTGCGCCCGACCTCCCTCCCTCTCTCTCTCGAGAGCGCGAATGAGCCCCAGCGACGACTGACACCCCGGTCCCTCGCTCGCTCGCAGGCGCCGGTTCGCTCCTCCTCGAGTTCATCACCCTGTCGCGCCTGACGGGCGACCCGCAGTTCGAGCTCGCGGCGCGCCGGGCCTTCTTCGCCGTGTGGAACCGCCGGTCCGACATTGGGCTCGTCGGCAACACGATCGACGCGAGGACGGGCGTGTGGCTGCATGCTGTCGGTGGGACGGGAGCCGGCATCGATTCGTTCTACGAGTGCGTCCTCGGTCCGCCCCCCCCTCTCTCGGTCTCGGGAGGACCCGGCGGCGGTGAAGCACGCTGACGCTGCGCGCCCGCGACAGGTACGCCGCCAAGGCCTACGTCCTGACGGGCGAGGACGAGTACCTGCGCGTGTGGGACGAGGGGCACGCGGCACTGCAGCGCTACGTCCGCTCGAGCGACGGCTTCTGGGTGCGTCCTCCTCAGTCCCTCCTCCCTCTCCTCCCGCGCGCTCGCCCTGACCCAGCCTCCTCTCGCCTCGCGCGCGCGCGCACGCGCAGTACCGCCCGGCGCACATGAGCACGGGCCAGCTCGCGTCGTCGTACGTCGACTCGCTGTCGGCGTTCCTCCCCGGCGTGCAGGTCCTCATGGGCGACCTCGACAGCGCGACGCGCGCCCACGCGCCGTTCGCCTTCATGTGGGACCGGTATCGAGGCTTGCCCGAGCTGTTTGACACGCTGCGCAGGCAGGGCGGCGGCCTGCAGCTCGGGTACCCGCTCCGGCCCGAGTTCATCGAGAGCAAGTGCGTCGCCCCGTCTCTCTCTCTCTCTCTCTCTCTCTTCGCCTGTCTCTCGAGCCACGATCCGGTACTGAGACCTCAGTCCCGCAGCATGTACCTGTACCAGGCGACGGGCGACGAGTGGTACCTGTCGATCGCCGAGCGCGCCCTGCACGACATCAACGCGCGCGCGAGGGTCGAGTGCGGGTTCGCCGCCGTCAAGGACCTGCGCACGGGCGAGCTCGAGGACAAGATGCCGAGCTTTGTCACGGGCGAGACGCTCAAGTACCTGTACCTCACGTTTGCCGAGGTGCGCCCCCTCGCCGTCCCCTCCCTTCTCTCGCCCCCGAAAGAGGGCCCGCGCACTGACGCTCGAGGTGGACTTCTCGCGGCCGCAGGACTCGCCCTTCCTCCGCGACGACTCGGCGTTCGTGTTCACGACCGAGGGCCACCCGCTCGAGATCCCGCACCCGCCGCCGACCGCCTCGCAGCGCTCGCGCTCGCGCGGCAAGCGCCCACTCGCTCGACCCCCTCCCTCATCCTCTTCCTCCTTGCCCAGCTCCGCCGGCTCGACTTCTTCTTCTTCTTCGACCTCATCCTCGCCCACCCCGGACGCCGACACCGCTGCAGCCGCCTCGGCGCCGACCTGTGCGGCGCACGACCCGCTCGCCGACGAGCGGCACGCGCACTTTCTCGCGCTCGGCATGGACCGGCGCACGGACTGGGAGCACGCGCGGTGGCTCGTGGGCCAGGTCCCGAGCGCCGAAGACGAGGAGAGGCTCGTGCGGGACGGGACGTGGAGGGCCGAGGGGTGGTGCGAGGTGCCTGCGGGCGAGGTGCGTCGCTCTCTCTCTCTCTCCTCTCCTCCCCTCTCCTTTGGACTCGACTCGGTGCGCGCGAACGAGGAGGAGTGGCGCACGCCCCGGACCGGTCCTGACGAGTGCACGGGCGCTGATTCCCCAACCAAGGACCCTTCCACCACCTCGACCCTCGCGACGCAATACGCCTCGCACCTCGCCGCCGTCCGCGCCTTTATCGCGTCGCATCTCCCGTCCGTACCCGCCGCTCTCCGCCCATCGCCCCCCTCCTCCACTCCCGACCCACCGCCTGCCCCCCCTCCTCCTCCTCCCGCCGCCGCACCCTCCCCCTCGGCCCCCTCCCTCTCGGCGGTCCCGCCCCCTCGCAGGACTCGAGCATAGAGCTCCTCTTTGCGGCGACGAGCGACGGCGAGGTCGTCGCGCCGAGCGCGGCCCAGCTCGGCCCGCACGAGAGCGGCAGCGGCGACGTCGTCGTGCACTCGATCGCGGGACTGCGCTTCTCGCTCGCGCGCACGGGCGAGGGCACGGGCGCGAGCGCGCCTGGGGCAGGTGGATCAGGGGCGGGAGGAGGAGCAGGGTCGGCAGGGCAGGCGCAGGGCTGGTACGCCGTGACGCGCGTCGGCGGCGTGACCGTCCCAGCGGGCAAGAGCGTCGTCATCCGCGACGAGGCGGTCCTCGCGGGCCTGACGCTGCCGCGCAAGCGCGTCGAGCGCGTCGTGCTTGACGCGGTCGTCGCGCCGGCGGACGAGCCGCCGATGCGCGAGGAGGAGGAGGAGGAGGGCGACGAGGAGGGCGGCGAGGTGGGGCAGGTGGGGCGAGGCGGGCGGGCAGGGAGGAAGCTCGATCGGTTCATCGACATGGTGGTGGGCGGGCGAGGCGACGCTGTCGATGGCGCGACTGAGGGCGCAGCCCTCGACAACGTCGACGACCCGGACCTCGACCTCGACCTCGACCCGTCCCTGCCGCACGCCCTGCAGCTCGACGCCCTCGCCGCCTCGTTCGGGCCCTCCCTCACCGACCTGAACCTCGCCTTTGCCCTCGATGGCGGCCCCCTTCCGCTCGTCCTTCCTCCCTCGACCGCCTCGCCGTTCGGCTGCGCGCCCGTTCCCCTCCCTCGCCCCGACTCGACTGTCGAGCCCGACGCCGCACCACCTCGCCATATCCTCCTCCTCCGTCGCGGCGAGTGCTCCTTCGCCCAGAAGGCCCACCACGCCGCGCGCTCGGGCGCCGCCGGCGTCGTCCTCGTCTCGGGTCCAGGCGACGCCGATCCCGACGGCGACGGCGCCGACGCCGGCGAGGGCTTCATCGTCCCGAGCGCTGCGGCCGACGACGAGCCCGAGGGCACGATGCGCGACCTGGTGCCGCTCGTGCTCGTCGGGCGCAGCGCCGGCCTCGAGCTCGAGGCGCTCGTGCGCCGCGTGCGCGAGGCGAACGCACGGCTCGAGGAGGGCTGGTCGGCGGCGCGCGAGGACGAGGTCGATGCGGGGCAGCGGGCGGCGCACGTGTGGGTCACGGTCGAGCGAGGCGAGGGGGAGGACGAGGACGAGGTGGTCGACTCGGAGGTGGGCGGGATTTACACGCTCGGCGGCTTTGCCGTCACCAACTGCCGAGTGCAGCACGGCGGCAGACGTACATAGACTAGACACAGCACCTGTTGTAATCCTCTCGCTCTGCGCACGCGTTCTCGTCGGGCCACGAGAGTGTCCTCGAGGAGCTCTCTCGTCGCTCGCCTCGCTCGCTCTCACTTCCACTCGAGCCTGCCGCGCCGAAAAAAAGTCACAGAAAGGCACTCTGGGTATTTCACACGTCGCAGGAAGAAAGAGGGAAAGGGCGCGCCCGCACGCACGCTCAGTAGCCGCGGTCGGCCGTCATCTCCTTGCCCGCCGCCGCGCCGAGCTTGTTCTCGCCCTTCATGCCCTCGCCGAGACCCTCGCTCACCTCTGCGAGCTTGAGCGGGTCCTGGTAGTGGGTCGTCGCGAGGACGACGGCGCGCGCGAGCGCCTCGGGGTTCTCCGACTTGAAGATGCCCGAGCCACTGCGAGCGAGCGAGCGAGCGAGGGGGGGAACGTGCGCGCACGAGGGTCAGTGCGGGTTCGTCAAGGGTGGGTCGGGGCGAGGGGGAGGAGGAGGAGGAGGAGGACGCACACAAAGACGCCGTCCATGCCGAGCTTCATCATGAGCGCCGCGTCGGCGGGCGTCGCGATGCCGCCCGCCGAGAACATGACGACGGGGAGGCGACCGAGGCGGGCCGTCTCGCGCAGGAGGTCGACGGGCGCCTGGATCTCCTTGGCCATGTGGTACAGCTCGATCTCGCTCAGGGTCGACGCGTACTTGATCTGCTGGTCGACCTTGCGCGCGTGACGGACCGCCTCGATGACGTTGCCCGTGCCGGCCTCGCCTGTGGATGTGTGGGTGCGCGACGACGACGGGAAAGGGTCAGCTCGTCGTCGTTGTTGTCGAGCGATGCCGAAAGGCGAGAGAAAAGGAGCGGGGACGCACCCTTGGTGCGGATCATGGCGGCACCCTCGCTGATCCTGCGCAACGCCTCGCCGAGGTCCTTGCAGCCGCACACGAAGGGCACGTCGAACGAGTGCTTGTCGACGTGGAGCGAAGGGTCGGCGGGCGTCAGGACCTCGGACCTGTCGAGGCACAAGGAGAGAGAGAGCGAGTCAGGCCTGCGTCGAGCAAGGTGCGCGAAGAGGAGGAGGAAGAGGAGGGACGCACTCGTCGATGTAGTCAACGCCGATGGCCTGCAGGATCTCGGCCTCGACGATGTGGCCAATGCGCGACTTGGCCATGACCTGTGAGGTCAAGAGAGGGAGTCAAGCTCGCGCTCGCGCAAGGAGAGAGTAGAGCGAGGACGCACAGGGATCGAGACGGCCGCCATGATCTCCTTGATCATCTTGGGGTCGCTCATGCGCGCAACGCCGCCGTCGCGGCGAATGTCGGACGGGATGCGCTGGAGGGCCTGCGAAGGGAACGGAAGAGAAGGTGAGCCGCACGTCGAGCGAAACGAGGACGAGGTCGAGCGGGACGGACCATGACGGCGCAGGCACCGGCAGCCTCGGCGATGCGAGCCTGCTCAGCGTTGACGACGTCCACTGCGAGCGCGAGGGACAGAGTGAGCTTTCACGTGGCGTCGTGGGGGAAGACGGCACGCCGGACGCGGCGGTCGAAGAGCGAGAGGAGGACGCACTGATGACGCCGCCCTTGAGCATCTGGGCGAGTCCCGCCTGTAGGAGGCGATGGTCAGCTTGCGGTCATGCGGCAAGGTGGCGGAGCGAGACGATGGGCGCACCTTGACAGCGAAAGTCGGGCGGGACGACGAGGCGGTGCCGTTGCCGTTGGTCGAGGGGGCCGAGTTGCCGTTGGTAGCAGAGGGGGACATGGCAGTGTGAGTCGAGTGAAGGGTGGGGAGTGAAGAGGAGGAGCGCAGGTCGGGTCGAAGTCGGGAACGTCGAGATCTCGGACAAGTCCGACATCGCTTCGCTCTCTCGGGTTCAAACACCGCCTTGACTGGTGCTGGGTGCCACGCCCCTCAGCCATCGCCATACACCCTCGTCGGCACCTCTCCACGAGCTGTACTCGCCGAGCATGGCCAGCGCACGTTCCCCCGCAGCCGTTGGCGTCCTGTGCGCCCCGCTCTCTCTCTCTCGCCCCCACCCCCCTTCCGGCACCTCGAGCTCACCTTGTGTCCACCGCACCACAGCGCCCTCCAGGGCTCGTTCGCAGAGCACATCGCCGCCCTCGAGTCGTGCACCACCTCGACCGGCGAGCGCGTCCCCGTCGTCGCCGTCCGCACCCCGCAAGACCTCGCGCGCTGCCGAGCGCTCGTCGTTCCCGGCGGCGAGTCGACCACCATCTCGCTCCTGATCCGCAAGTCGGGCCTGTACGAGCCCTTGAAGGACTTTGTCCGGCGCGCCAAGTCGGGCCAGGGCGAGCGCAGCCTGTGGGGGACGTGCGCCGGCATGATCCTCCTCGCGCGCGAGATCGAGGGCCCGACGAGCGAGGGCTGGGAGGGGCTCGACGGCATGGACGTGCGCGTCGTGCGCAACCAGTACGGTCGTCAGGTGCGCCCCCACTCGCCCGACGACAAACTCCTCCCTGCGCACGAGCGCCGCCTGACCTTCTTCTTCCTCACGCGCCAACAGCTCCAGTCCTTCTCACACGGCGTCTCGCTCCCCTTTCTCTCGACGCCCGAACCCCTCCTCGCCACCTTCATCCGCGCCCCGATCCTGCACTCGCTCCTCCCCCCATCCCCATCCACCGACTCGGCGGCGCCGCCCTCCCCGCCGGTCGAGGTCCTCGCCCGCATCCCGCGCGAGCTCGTCCCGGCGCCCAAGCGCGCCCTCGCCGCGACGGGCTTGCAGGCCGAGCTCGGACCCGAGGCCGCGGCCGTCATGTACCGCCAGGGCGACCTGCTCGCGTGCAGCTGGCACCCGGAGCTCAACAAGGGCGACGCGAGGGTCCACGAGTGGTGGCTCCGGGAGCTGGTTCTCCACGAGCGGGACACGCCGTCGAGCGGCGAGGCGCAGGAGTAGAACTCTGACGCGAGGGCTTGTGCATAGACGTCCCGCTGCAACCACCGTTTTTGTCGTTCACCGTCTCTCGACTGTTCGAGCGCTCGAGCCTCTCTGCGAATGGCCGAGAGCGTCTCCTTACTCGCGAAAAGCTCTCTCTTCCTAAGCTACCGAGCGCCGCAGATCGTCGACAGCTCGAGGCCTTGCCGCCGAGCATCGAGAAACAGAGTGCGCCCCGAGTCGACGGCGACGGCCGCAAGCGAGAGAGCGGTTTAGTCAGCTCCGCGGTCTCCGACTGCGTCCGCCGAGCTCGAGGTCGCTTAGAGTCGCACAGTTCTCAAGACACGCTCGCTCGAGCCTCGAGAGAGCCACAGCGGCGAACTCAGAGCCCGACAGTCGCGGCCGGATTTGAGAAGGTCGCGCGGCGAGCCGACCTCGCGGCCTCGACAACACGCTCTCGCTCTCTGCTCGTGCACACCTCGAGACGGGCGAACGACTGCAGTACAGACTAAAGCGACGAATCTACAGAACAAGAGTGGCCCCCGCTCACCACTCGAACTCCTCCGTGTGCAGCTCGACCTCGGCCACGCCGCGCTCGGCGCCCGCGCGAGCAAACGCGATCACCTTCTGCCTGGCGGCGACGGCGCGGCGGACGTCGGTCGTGAGCGACGCCGGGCCGCACGACGCGATGCCGAGCGTCGAGCCGTCGGGCGCGGCGCAGAAGCGCGCCGTGAGGAGGTCGGGCAAGGACGGGCGGACGTAGGTCTTGCGCCAGGGGACGTGCGAGGTGGCGCAGCTGCAGTGGCGTCGAGAGTGTCAGGGATGCGGGCTCGGAGAGAGGCGAGGAGAGGAGGGGGGAGAGAGAGGCAGGCGCACCTGGCGGCGGCGCTGCAGGGCGGCGTCGGCTCGTCCTCCTGGTCGAGCTTCTCCTTCGACTCGTCCGACGGCTGCGCGCCCGTGACGAACAGGTGGAAGGTGACGAAGCCCTTGGGCAGGTACTCGGTCGCGCGGTGGATCTGGTTGTCGAACCACGTCTTGGCCTCTGCGTGCAAGAAGGCCGAGTCAGTTCAGGCGCGACGAGGGAAAGGGGACGGCGAGAGAAGCGAGAGCGCACCTTCGTCCCTCACAGCCCACCACACGTCGATCTTCTTGACCCGGACGCCCTCTTCCTCGCGCAAGACCCGGCCGCACACCTCCTCGAGGACCGCCGTGCAGAACGACATGCCCGCACCGCCGCCGACGAGGACGAGCGCGTCGTGACGGCCAAAGTCGCGGTTCGCGGCGGCGAGACCGCCGTACGGTCCGTCAAGAAGTACCGGCGTGGTCGGCGACGAGGACGAGGCGAGCGAGAGGAGGCGCGGGCCGAGGCCCGAGAGCGGGTTGATGCGGAAGACGAGGACGAGGCGGTCCGGCGAGGCCTGTGCGACGGGCAGAAGCCGTCAGAAGGTTGTACAGAAGGAAGTACGCCGAGCGAGAGGGAACGCACGACGCTGCTCGGATCGTTGCGAGGCGCGTTGGCGACCGTGTACGGGTGGCTCTCGAGCGGGCGGACCTTGAAGAAGTTGACAAAGTAGTGCTGCCCTGCCGTCCACCGGTGGCCCGAGTTGTACGGCAGGCGGACCGTGATGCGCACGGCGTTGTCGGCGAGCGCCTCGACGCGGCCGCGAGCGACGTGGCGACCGTTGCGGACGAGGATGAGGCCGAAGCGCACGAGGACCGACGTAAAGTAGATGGCGGCCGTCGCCCAGATGTAGCGCCTGTTGCGGGGAGTGGCAGAGGGTCAGTGAGAGTGCGAGGCGGGAGAAGGGCCGAAGGGGAAGGCCGGGCCGAGGAGGCGGTCCCGACGAGGCGGTCGAGGAGGCGGTCCCGACGAGGCGGTCGAGGCGGCAGGGTCCGAGAGGGCGAACAGGTCGGCGCTTACCAAGACGTGAGGAGGGCATTGCAGTGTACGTAAAAGAAGCCCGAGAAGAGAATGGCCGAGACGATGTGCAGGAGCTTGAAGATCTCGTACGACCGGTTGCGGAGAGGCGCCAACGAGCCCCAGCACAGGACGACGAGAGGGACCAAGGCGGCGATGCCGGACCAGTAGTAGACCTTGTGCGACACGAACCACGAGTAGTACAGCTGCGAGTACCCGTGCGGGTTCAAGCCGTCCGTGTTTGGGCGGATCTCGTGCGTGCCCTGGACGACGAACGGGAAGGTGTGGAGGAGCGACAGGATGACTGTAGGGTCGACGAGTCAGTCAGGATATTTGGGAGAGTGCTCGGCGAGAGGCCGCAGGCGAGTTGAGGACCGGCGGGCGAGGGGGAGAGGGCGCGAGGACGGCGAGCGCGACCAGCGCGCCCTGTCGAAGGGTACGAGGAGGAGAGAGGAGGCACGTGTGCGACTCACGGAAGAGGTGCGACAGCCACTGGTGAAAGACCTGAAGCTTCTCGTGCGAGCAGCCGACGACGAAGCCGACGAGGTTCCACTTGGCGCCGAACGCGAGGATGAACGGGAAGCACCCGAGGGCGAACATGCCGGTGCGCATGGCGAGAGGCGGTGACCCGACGTTCCACCTCGAGCTGCGGGCCGGGCGAGGCGAGGCGGGTCAGGTCGCGTTGTCGGGAGGGCTCGAGCCAGGGGAGGAGAGGAAGAGGGAGGATCTCGACGGACCGGTAGTAGGGCTGCTGCGCGAACGTCCAGACTGGATGGTAGAGTCAGGTATTGTGTGTCGAGCGCGCACGAGAGACAGAGAGGGGACGCACTGCCGATGAAGAGCCAGAAGAGGACGATGATGCCGATGACGCCCGCTGTCGGGAAGCGGATCCAGCCGGCGGCCTTGGGCTGGCTCGTCTCGATCCAGCGGTAAAAGGCGACTTTCCTGCGGTACGCCCTGGTGCGGGCGAGGCGAGAGCCGAGCCTGTGAAAGAGGAGAATTCGTGTCAGTCAGTGACGGAACCGAGGCGACGTCGCAAAGGCTGGGCGAGCGACGACGACGAGGACTCGCTGCCGACTCACTTGGTGCGCATGAAGATGGTGAAGAGGTTGGCGAGCCCGAGGAGCGCGATGGCGCCGCAGATGGCGATGACCGCCGCCTTGGCGTCTGCGCGGGCAGAAAGGGGGAGGTCCTCGACCCGTCAGTTCTGCGCGATTCGAGTCGAGAGAGCGAGGGACGCACACTTGGGCGTGTCCTCGTACGGATCGACCTTGGTCTCGGCGATCTCGCTCGGCGTCATGCTGGCATGGCTGTGGCCGCGGCGCGCGAGAAAAGCTTTTGCGAGCTCGTGGGCGAGCGACGCCGCGCCGTCGTTGAGGGTCGACATGACGGTCGCAATCCTGGTGCTGAGCCGAGCTCGAGGATGGCGAAAGTTGGTGGAAGCGAGGAGGTCGAGTGAGGGAGGGAGGTAGGAGAAGGAGGAAGAGAGGCAAACGGCCTCGGCTCGGCGTCTTGCTTGGCTCGGGCGCGTCCGGGCGGCAGCAGGAGGAGCCAGCGTTGGCCCAGGAGGGGGCGTACGTCGCAAGGGGGGTGGGCTGCGGTGTCGCGAGGAGCGGCGAGGGCGGCTCCTTGCGAGGCGGAAGCAACGAGTGAAGCAGGACGTCGTGGAGGAGTCGGACTAGCCCGAGTGGGAGCGAGCAGCACCCAGAAGTGGTCTAGGGCTGCTCGGTAGCCCTGCGTGCTGTTGTCGGGGAGAGAGCGAGCGAGGTAGATGAGGTCGAGCGGGAACTTGGCCGCCAGCGCGACGCCGCGCGATTTTGAACCGGGCGGGGCCAGCGCGGCCAAACCGGGTGCGCCATTTGTGCTGCGCTCTCTCGGCGGCTTGCAGGTATTCTGCAGCATCTCTCTGGCCGCCTCACAGTCTACCAGGGACAGCGAGGCCGTTCGGGAAACGCTCGAGAGGCTCGCGCTTTTTCGGCCCGTCGCTGACGTCGAGCTCTGCCCACCTCTCACGGCTCGTGCACTGCAAAGAAGAGCAGTCGCATTACATGCCAGGCCAGCTGAACGTCGTCCTCTGCTTGTACAGCGCCGTCACTGCCGCTTTGTCGCCGACCGAGACGACGTGGCCTGCGAGGCGCAAGTCGGTCAGCCGAGGATGGCGCAGGTGGACGCGGGAGAGGATGAGGCGACGCACCGACGTCGGCCGAGAAGGCGTAGCGACCCTGTGTAAGAATGGAGTTGTTAGAATGCGGGCCGGGAAGGCGGGAGAGAGGAGAGAAAGAGAGAGAGGTGGGACGCACAAAGACGGGGCTGTACGAGCCCGAGTCGACCCGACGGTCCTTGGCGAGCGTCCTGCACAGTCAAGACGTCAGTATGCCCGCTCGAGACGTTCTCGAGACGAGGACCGCGAGAGGTGGACGCACTGTAGCGGCAAGCCCGTTCCCTCGAGCCGCTTGCCCGTGTCGTAGTCGATGTTGAGCGAGATGCACCGCACGCAGTTGGACGTGATGCAGAACGTAGCTGGAGGCGTCGACGTCAGGGCCCGCGCCTGCGCTCGGAGGAAAGGGGAGAGAGAGGGATGCACTCTTCCCCTGGACCCGCAGCTCCTTCCACCAGTCCTCGACCCACGGCGCGAGCCCGCCCGGCTTGGCCGGCCCGACGACGATGTTGGGCCGCAGAGGCTCGATCGGCATGTCGCGCCCGAGGGCGTGCGAGAAGGCGGCGAGCGAGCTCGACGAGGCGATCATGTAGGACGCGCTGCGCGGACGAGCCGGGTTGCGGTGAGCTCCTGTTCGAGGAGGAGGAAGAGACAGGCGAGAGAGATCGGGCGCACCAGTCCTGGAAGGCAATGTTCCTGTGAGCAGGGGCAGTAGAGTCAGTGCGCCGTCCTCAGTGCGTGTCGACCCGGCGCCTGAGGTGAGGGAGGACGCACTCGTCCGCTCCGAGCGCGATCGACCCGAGCACCTTGCGGTTCGCGTTGGCGTCCTCCTCGAGGAACATGAGTCTCGTCTCCTTGCCGTCTGAATGGCGCGTGAAGAACGTGGCCGCGTCGTCGCCGAGGTCGTAGGCGAGCGTTGGCGAGCTGTGCAGCTCGACCTTGACGGCGGCGAGGCCGGCGGTCGAGGGCGAGAGGGGAACGGTGAGCGGGGAGTCGCCTGGCGAGGGTGGCGTGATGGTGAGCGTCTTGGCGGCCCAGTCGATCGACTGGCGAAGGAGGGCGTGCTGTCGGCGTCGAGGAGGAGGAGGGACGAAGGGAGGCAAGCTTCGATCAGCTCGCGCCTCACGCGCTCATGGATGTAGGGACGCACAGAGGGATAGGTCGCCGCGAGGTGGCACTCGTGCGAGCCATCGGCGGCGGGCGAGACGAGGATGAGGCGCCGGTCGTACTTGAACCCGAGGTCGGCGAGCTCGAGGGATTGCGCCGTTAGCGGCCGCAGGCCCTTGATAGGGTACAGGAACAGCTGGAATGGGGAGGTAGAGTCAGTCAGGCTTCCCCCAGGGGCCAGAGGGAGGAGGAAGAGGAGACGCACCTGCTCGACGATGACATCCGGGTGGTCCCGTTTCCAGCTCCTCCAGCGCAGCAGCCCGACCGCGCACAAGCCCGCGATGACGACAAAGATGTCGCTGAGCGTGAGGACGAACATGCCGGGTCGTAGCGAGGCGAGCGAGGGAGCAAGCAAGGAGCAAGAGGGCCGCCGAGCGGAGAGCCGCGCGCGAGCCGCGAGTGAGCGCGCCAAGTCGCTCGTGCGGCCGAGTCCTCTCGCCGCGAGTCAGGTTGCAGCAGCGCGAACAAGTGTGGCAATCAACAGAGGCAAACGGCGCAACAAGGGAGAGTGCTACACGACGGCGACGACCTCTCGCACGACGGCCTCGACCGTCACGACCTGCCCCAGCCCGCGCTCGCCCCCCTCGCCCTCGCCACCGCCGCCGCCTCTCCTCCCTCTGAGCGCTCCGACCTCGCTCCCCCAGAACAGGCTCTTCTCGTCCTCGGGGCGGCGCAGCGCGAGGCGGTGCCCGACGACCGACAGCACGACGGCGAGCACGTCGGCGGGGAGGACGAGCACGGCCGACGACGACGACGACGTCGCGTCTGCGTCTGCGTCTGCGTCTGCGTCTGCGCCTGCGCCGTCGTCAACCACGCGGAGCGCGAGCCTGGCTGTGGCGCTGTCGGGCTCGGGCACGCCGTCGCCCGAGGCGGCCGACGCTGACGCCGGCGCCGGACCGAGGCTCAGGACAGCGCCCTTGGTGAGCGCGGCCCAGACGCGTGTCGCCCGGCGCAGGTCCCGCACGGCGTGGGCGGTGAGCATGCGGCCGTCGAGCTGCGGGTGGTGCCGCAGGGCCGAGACGAGGTCGGACGTGTACGTGTCGAGCGAGTCGGAGACGTACGACGGCAGGACGTGCTCGGGGAGGTATAGAGCGCGCCGCGGCGGCGAGGTCGAGGTCGAGTTCGAGGACGAGGGCGAGGGAGCGGGTGCAAAGAAGCGCGTGGAGGACAGGAGCGACGACGGCGGGATGGTGTGCGACAGGGCGAAGCGGTCGAGCTGCGGCGCACGACGAGAGTCAGCGAGACGGTCCGCAGACCGCGTGGGCGAGAGGCAAGGGAGAGAGAGGCAAGGGAGAGAGAGGCAAGGGAGAGAGAGAGAGAAAGAGAGAGCACGCCGCGACGCACCAGGTGCCTCGACACGTCTCCCCACGCGCCCTGCCCCGCCGCGCCCTCGTCCCACACGGATGGGCGACGCACACAAATTCCCTCGGGCACGTTTCCACGCACCGTCCCACGGGCCCACGTC